GAATCCACTCTTTTTCTGATAACTCTTTCTTCAAAGAGTCAATGTAATCATCAGTCTTGTTATTTAAATATCCTATAATTGATTACTCGATTACAAATGATAACCTATGCAAATTTTTTGAATGGGATAAAAAGCCATCGATAGAAGCCATAATCGGAGAGTTAGAGATATTATTATCCTTCATTGATAGACCGGATGAAGATAGTAATACGATTAAAGAAAATGAAAATTATATCTATTCAATTTATGAATATTTAAATAACAAGACTGATGATTACATTGACTCTTTGAAGAAAGAGTTATCAGAAAAAGAGTGGATTCTAAACGAGTCCAATATTTATTCAACAAAAAGACTGGTATTCACTCTTCCCACCTGTATTAAGAATACTGAGTGGATTCAAGTTTCCAAGCATAATAAAGAACATTTTTCACAACTTCTTGAGAAGCTTGGAGTAAAACCAAAACTTGAAATTTTGGATTATGTAGATATACTTAAAAGCTTAAACATTGAATGTGATAATGTTATAGAAATACTTGAATATTTATCAAAAGAAGATGTAAATTTAGAAGATTTACTGATTCCAAATATGCATGGTGTGATGAAAGTCCGAACAGATATTTTTTTTAATGATATTAATAAAAACAATGAGGAATTAATAGAGAAACATCGAGATATTTTAACACATCATAAAATTACAAGTGAACTAGCAAAAAGACTAAAGATTAAAAATTTCAATGAAAATTTTTTTTTGAAAAATAAAATGTTTGGCTTTGATGTCGAAATATTAACCTCAAGATTTATTGACACTCTTAAAGTACGTGTATAAGTATTTTATGATTGCTAAAAACTTACATGTAATTAATATTTATTATTATTTTGAATAGGCTTTCAATTGTGACATAGCGGTATTTCAAGAATTTCTCAAAAATGCAGATGATGCAAGTGCAACCCAGTTCTGTGTAATCCTTGATTATAATGATTATCGAGGATCCAACAAATCGTTAATGAAAGAAGAGATGAATGATTGGCAAGGACCTTCAATATGGATATTTAATGATAAACAATTTTCTGAAAATGATTTCAAATCAATTATCAATGTTGATTGTAATAAGAAGCCTAACAAAATTGGAAAAGAAGGGCTTGGATTTATTTCATGTTACAATTTAACAGATTTACCACAATTAATATCGAGTAATAAAATTGTATTTTTCGATCCACAAAAGAAATTTCTTCCTAATAATAAGTGTGGTAGTGTGTTCTGTTTCGATGATTACAGAAAAGAAGGCAAAAGTCATTTTATCAATATGTTTGAAGATCAGTTTGAACCATACTTAAAACTTAATAGAGATATGTTTAAATTTGATTTTAATGATAAAGAATATAGTAGAACGTTGTTTAGATTACCTCTTAGAACAACAGAAAGTAAAATTTCTGATAAAAAATATTCGGTTGACGATATTAAAAATATTTTGCATACTTTAAAAGGTGGTATAGCCTCTCATCTAATTTTTCTGCGAAATATAGAAACATTTGAAGTTTATGAAAAAAGATGCTCGCAAAATGAAGAACTTTTATGGAAGGTCGAAGTTAAGGAGAATAGTTCAAACCGAAAATTCTTTGGACAAGGTCCACAGGAATTCCAACTCGATATACAACTTACTGAAAGAAATTACACAACAGAAATTGTAAAGTGGCTTATATGCTCTGATTCTGTTTCAAATGATAAATCTATACCTAGTGATACATGGGGCGGTGTAGCAATATCAATTTCAGATATTTATAATGAACTATATTTAAAGGGACGATATTATTCGTATCTTCCACTTCAAATCTTTACAGAGCTTTCTGTAAATTTGCATTCAAATAATTGGTTGCTTACGCCAGGCCGGAGCCGATTTAACTGGAACGACACGGATGCATTAGATAATATTTTGGGAAAAGTTCTTCCTCAAATCCATGTAAAACTTTTAACAGAATACATAAAGTATATAGAAAAAGAACAAAAAAAAGTAGATTGGCAATTTATTTCTGAACTTTGTTCGATACTGGAAAACGAGCGGTCTTTAGCATACAAATATGTAAAAAAGGTGCTTAAGCTCATATGTGAAGGCACATATAAAATATTTTGGTCACCTTCTGAGGGTGGATCATATATCAGCTTTAGGCAAAGCTGTTTCATAGATAAAAATACATCAATAAATGTTACTAATTTCCTTAATGAGAATGGATATTGTACAGTTTTATTAGACCGAGAACATTTAGAAAAATTCGAAAAATTAGGATTTACTCCTCAAAAAGTCAATCCTCAATTTGTTCGAGATATCTTGAAAAATAAAAAATTTGTATTGGATCCATCGAATTTGGAACTTTCTTGTTCTTTATTGGGTTATATTCTTGATGAACTATATGAAGAACTTGCGGGTATTAGACTAGTTCCATTATTCGGAAATAGATTTGGAGAATTTGGGAAAAATTATTATATTGTTTCATCTAAACAATTTGAATTATTTCCCAAGGTTGGACCAAATTATTTTATTTCTATTGAAAAGTTAGAAGAAATGGAACTAGACAAAATATTTATGAATGAAAGATTTCTCGAGGTTACAAATATTAAAAAATTTACTGCGCTTACAATTAAAGATCTTTTAATTGAAGAACTAGGAGAATTAAATGATGGTTTGGAATTAAATTGGAATCCTAGTTCACAAAAATTCCGAATCAAAAGTGGCTTAATGAAATATGGGAATATATTATTTGTGGTCCATTGGAATCGTATAAATCATTACCTCTATTAGAAATATATAATCTATCTAATCCTGATCAACATAAACTTATTAGTTTAATAAATGCAAAACATAGACCATTACTGGTCTATTCTAATAATGCAGAAGATATAAATATAGTTCAAAAATTAGTAAACCTTGGAATCCGGTTCACCAAACATCAATATAGAACAGAACTTGATGATTACATTTTAAAGTTTGAGCCATTAACTATTTTATATGTTATTCTAAAATACCAATGCCAAGAGCTTTAAAAAATAATAATGAAGCTAAAGAGATTATGTGTCAATATTTTTGTAAAACTTTAACTTTAAATAACATAGTTTACACATTTATATTGAAAAGATTACCTATACTGAAAAGCTTACCTATATGGCCAACGCATACTGTGGAATCTGCAAATACAGTATACAGATCTGTTTTAGATTCTAATACATATCTTATACCAACGCCATTTACATTTCAACCACTAAATGAATGTAGAACTTATTATTATAATACAAAATATCCAAATATGCGAAAACTATTAGAATTTTTAAAAGTCAAAGAACGAACTAAATTAGATTATATAAAAGATGCTATTGTTCCTAGTACCACATCAATTCCTCAGCATGTGCAAGATGACTATTTAAAATTTTTAATTGATATATTTTCAGATAATAATTTTGATGAAATAAAAAATTATATCAAGGAACTAGAAATTTTTCCAAATCAAACTTTTAAATTTTGTCGTGCAAAAGACTTGTTCGACCAGAATAATCTTCTTTTTAAAAATATTTTTGAATTCTCCGATAAATTGTTCATAAACGATCTTCAAAATAATCAAGAATTCATAGAGAAACTCAAAGAAATGGGTTTAAAAAGTAATATTACTCCTGAAATATTTATTGAATGTTCCGAAGAAATTCAAGCTAATTTTAAAAGGCATGAGCATGATGTATCCAAAATAAGCAAAATAATGCAATCAGCAAAGTTAACAGTCGATTATTTTTATCAAGATCAATCAGAATTAAAATTTCCAAAAGATAAGTGGAATAAATTGTCAAAAATTAGATTTATTCCGATTTCAAAAAATTTAGAATTTCCACATTCATATAATGATGGTGAATTACAAAGTTTTGAAAATTTATGTCTTTCAGAATATAAAAATATTTCATGGACACACCACAAGAAGACGTTTTAAATAATTATTCTGGCTTAGGTTTACCCACCATCCCAACAATAATCAACCATTTAATAACAATTCAAGAAACGGTTTCTAAATCAGTTGAATGGAGAAATTTTGATAAAGATGGAAAGCAACTATTTGAAGCAATAAAACAAGTTTATGAGAAATTGTCAAAACCTTTAGTTGAAAAGGATGAAAAAGATGAAAAAGAATTAAAAGACTTGAGTTTTTGCTTCCCTAAAGATAAACCGCTCTTTTTGAATAGCACTAATCCATTCGATTCAGAAAGTTGGGTTGTTGCTTCCCAACTTGTTTTGAATATTAAAAATAACTTCAGTTATAAGAGAAGAGCCGTTAATCCTTACCTTCAAGAATACAAGGAATTTTTAAGTTTCGCTGGTGCAGGTACATTTGAAGTTCCTCATTGGGGAAAAAGTGACCCAATTGAGAAAAATTCTCAGCAATTGTCTAAATCGGTTTTGGAATTCTTAAAAAATGAAGATCAGACACCATTTAATAATGTTTTATTTCGTGTTGGCTATGAAAAGCAAAAAAATTTATGCAAATTCATCAATATTAGTTTGTGTAGTACCATATTTTCGAAAATTATTTCTTAACTCAAATATAACATTTGAACAAACATATGAAGATATTAGGCCTAATTCATTTAAAGTCTTGTTAAATTGGTTATATGGAGAAATTTTTTCTGAAGCTATTAAAAGTATTGAAAGTGATGAACTTTTTCAAATCTATGAGGATTTACTATTAGCATCTGAAAAGTTCGAACTTGAATCGCTTAAAGAATTAATTGAATCTAACTTAGTTAAATATATTTATGAAAATTTAACTAATAATACTTTAAAAACAGTTAAAGGCTTGGCAGATAAATATATATTAGTGGATCTTCTTAATTATTGTATAGATTTAGAGCAACAAATGACTAAAAGTACATTCTCAACAATTATTAATAATGAACATGCCGCTGAAATTGCAACATGGATTGATAATAAACTAATAAATATGATACAAATATGGGACCGATTAAATCGATCTATTGAAATTTATCCACATTGTTCGGCGGTCCCATTTAAATACTCAAAAACCAATACTAAAACTAGTAAACTTCTATTAACAATAGTTATACGTAGAAAAATAATTTTTCTACAACTTTACTTATTAGGCAAATGTTAATTAAAAATGCGAATTTTTTTACAAAACTTGCACAAAATTACTGCGGGATCGATTAACATCCCGATTTAGATATATATATTTATCGCTAGTACACCATAGTGACTTGTACCAGGCTTTAGATAAGAAAAATAAAACTGCGATGATTTGTACGATTGTAAAATTTTGAGTAAATAGTGGGAAATTATTGATATAAATAATGATTCGTATGCACAATTAATAACACAACAGTCGAACAAAAAGCTCACTTTAACTATAAAAAAAATTATTATCGTTATGTAAAAGATAATAATGGTTACTTATTATTACAGTAATCCAAAATTTTTTATTGAAAAGCTAACTTGTATCGGAAATTGTTTACCGGTGAGGCTGCTTTATATAAATTCAATTCCAAATATAGTTTGAACCCAACGGGAATAAGGTTACAAACTACCAAAGAAACCAGTGTTACAGATTTGACACAGACTTAATATCAAGATCGCTCAATACCGATACATGTTTATGCGCAAATTTTGCAAGTCGAAGATTCTAGAACCATTTACCATCATGGCGTAAAGAGAAAGCCTTTGTGTGTTATTATAAAACAATAGTTTAAGTTACTTAAGATTCTTTATTAGATATGTTTATATTTGTTGATAAATTGTGATTGGTTGCACGGGTAACTACTAGCCAAGAATGATATCAATTAATAATTTTTAATATAAAGAATGTGTAATTAAAATCATTAAAATCATTACGCAATAAAAAAAAATCATATTCACGCCTCAATTACTCTTTAAAATTAAAGGGGCTTTTTTTTTTTTACAAGTTATGAAATGCACAGTATCTATATAATATATCATCAATATACGTAATTAATATATTTAATAAATCGCAGATCATATAAACGGTCTTTTCTTTAATTTTATCATATTAAATACACTGACTCGACTATTTGCATAAAGCGTAAAAAACTATGAATTTTTCGACAGATAACCCATATATTCAACATAATAAAGAGATTATTAATACACCTTTACAGCCAGAAAAAAGAATTTTCGATGCACCAACTTCAAAGAAACAAGAGAGACGACCGAAAAAACTCTATATTGGTAACGCGTACTCTTCTAATATTGATTTTGAAGTAAGAAAAAAATTTTCCAAGTTTTTAAGTTAATTTTACGTATTTAGTTAAAACTTTTTGTCATAATTTAAAACAGCTTTAAAAAGCTTATGATATACATTTTGCATAAATAAATTTTTTAAAAAGGTTGCAGAACCTATTATCGTTAAAAATTCAACAATACCAGATTGTGATCGTTTTCGTATGAGAAGAGTAAAAGTTGATTCGGAAAATAATCCATTTGTAAATTGGAAAATTATGCCAAACCTCTTCGAAGTTCCTAAAAATTATTACGCTCGATGCACAAAAACTGAAACTGTAATTAATGGAAAACGTATACGTATTGATGGATTTTCTGTTGTACCTATGAATATGGATTCTGATGCATTCTTTGAGATGGAAATAGAACTTAATGAAGGGTTCAGTTATTGTGTTTTTAATTATCAAGAAGAGGATACTATTGAAGATTTGAAAGATCAAGATAAAGTCGAAATACGCGATGATCATAAATTTGATGAAAATACAAATATATCGCAAGATAAAAGATCTTATAATGGCGAGACACCACAGGTATCTTGAATTGAAATTACCAGATATTTATTTGATTATACAATTATACACAAGATTTAAAAATGCCGGACATTTGTAATTTATTTCTAAAAATCTACCAATTTTGTTCCTCTTAAGATAAAGAAAGATGAAGTGAATAATAAGAATGCAAATATGAATAACAAAGAACATAACGAAATTAAAAGAGATGTAGCTGAAGTCGAACATTTGGTAAACAATTCGAATTCTAAATCATCATCATTTAACGAGAAAATACGATATGTATTAAAGGGTAGTCGATTCGTTCCTGAAAATGATATTACGGATATGTTTTCATCTGTTCAATTGTAATTATAATCTTCAATTCGTTGTATTTAGAAAATAGTAGTGCCCCAAGATGACCGTTTTTAAATCATGGTTGCTTTTGCTAAATCAATTAATCTTTAATTCAGTTACATATTGATGAAAATGGCGATTTGAAATTCATTTTCTTATTACTACATCATAAAATTATTTTGCGAATCCTATTATTTTTTATTATATTATGATCTAGTTATTGCATTTAAAAATATGTTTAAGTCTTATATCAATATTGTTTATATCAATTTATATTAGTTTATTAATTATTTGATATTAAATGTTGTAGCTTCTATATATTAATTACACTACTATTAAAAAAAAAAAAGGCCAAAATTTAGACTATACTAGCTTTTGGCAAAAATAAACATGAATCTTAGTACAAAACGGTACGAATCTGTAAATTTCGAATTACTTGCATTAAAATGAATATTTAAATTAAAAGGGTACTTTTTTATAATAAATATTTACCGGTATCTATAGCAAGGCAAATTAAGGTATGGCAGCAGACGATTGTTCGTTAAACCATTTATCGGTAATATGCGCAGCTTCCACGATTAACATGAACATTTATGTTAAGCTTAAAAACCAATGTGTCTCAAAGGGATGTTTAAAATGGAGATAGGGAAGTTTGGTTTGGTTTAATATATTATATAATATGCAGGAACTGTATATATTAAACCAGTTCAAACTTCCCCATCTCTAGTTTAAAATGTAACTAATTACTAAAGGTGCGGACATTAGAACATGAAATAACATACGTCATAGCCGTAACTGGGGTAGTTACCCAAATTTTATATGACGTAGGAGGGTAGCTACCCTTGACCTGACAAATGTTCGCACCTCTACTAATTACTATCGTTATTCGAACAATATTCGTATTCGGCGAATATTCGAATAAATAATTATCTGACGAATGAATTTGTGTTGTGTTTGGATAGACCCGGTCCCTTGTGTGACATAGTCTCCAGTTGAGTTCTATCCTAGAACCAGTCCCGACCTCTACACCTGCAAAAAACATGTTGTACTTAACAAACAATATATAACCCTGCATTTAGCATGGTGATGCAATCTATATAAAATCAAATATTTCAACTTTCGGTTCTTGAATTATTTTTATAAAACAAAAAAAAATGCCAGTTGAAGAAGAAATTGCTGAAATTACTAGTCATTTAGGTCAATTAAGTTTGAAAGATTATCAAAAATTAGCTGATGAGGGCAATTCTAAGGGAATATTCATGCTTGGCTATTGTTATGAATATGGAATTGATATTGAAAAGGATGAAAATAAGGCATTCGCACAATATAAAAAATCAGCCGAATTGAATAATCGTTATGGGATGTATAAAGTTGGCCAATGTTATCTTAATGGAATTGGAATTGAAAAGGACGAACACCAGGCATTTACCTGGTATGAAAAGTCAGCAAATGAGGGTAATTCTAATGGAATGTATCAAGTTGGCGTTTGTTATAATTTAGGAATTGGTGTTGAACCTCATAATCAAAAGGCGTTTGAATACTACCAGAGATCAGCTAAAGCAGGAAATTCAAAAGGATTCTCTAAAATAGTCATTTTATCTGATGAAATGGGACATACAGATGGAATGATTCAAGTTGGTAATTGTTATATTCAAGGAATTGGAGTTGAAAAAGATGAACACCAAGCATTTATTTGGTATAAAAAATCAGCAGATAAGGACAATTCTAGCGGAATAAACTATGTTGGCTATTGCTATGAACATGGAATTGGTGTCAAAAAAGATGAATATAAAGCATTCACACACTATCAAAAATCAGCAGACATGAATAATTCTAATGGAACGTTTCAAGTTGGCTTTTGTTATTATCATGGGATTGGAGTTGAAATGAATAAACACAAAGCATTTGAGCATTACCTAAAATCAGCTGAAATGAAGAATTCTATCGCAATCTTTAAAACTGCTATTTGTTACGATTACGGAATTGGCGTGGAAAGTAATTATAGCGAATATAAAAAATGGATTAATATGTAAGATAATCTTTTAATTTGGCATAAACTTATTCTTTTCTTTTTTTTCTTTTTTTTTTTTTTTTTTTTGTAATATAAAATTTCAATTATCAGGGAGTAAGTAATAGAACATTCACATCATTAATCTACATATTTAATTCTGCAATTCAAGTTTATAATATTTTATTTTATTTGTTTGTGTAATTCAGCCCGTGAGTATTAAGATGATTTATTAATGCTAATCAGTGGAATTAAATCATGAACATAAATACTTATTCATAAATTTCATTTGCATTATTTTAGTCAGTGAGTATTAAGATGATTTATTAACGTTAATCAGTGGAATTAAAATCATGAACATAATACGTACTTATTCATAAATACTTTACTCTAAATACCTATTTACAATTAATTAATTACCTAATACCCTTTCATTCGTATTAATTTAGTCGGTGAGTATAAAGGAGATTTATTAACGTTAATTAGTGGAATTAAAATCATGTACTTATTCATAAATACTTAACTCTAAATATTTATTTACAATTAATTAATTACCTAATACCCTTCAAATCATTTCATTCAGTGGGTGAGTATAAAGATGATTTATTGACGTTAATTAGTGGAATTAAAATCATGAATCTAAATACTTATTTATAAATACTTAATTCTAAATACTTATTTACAA